CGCTATAACAAACGCTATAATTCACAACAAACGTCTCACGTGCTCAACTCAACAATACTCTGTCCGCAGTTCAATTACAGATTGTTCCCGTCGCTTCTTTGCCGGTCTTATATATACAAGACTACCCCATATCTAGTAGTCTCCCGACGTTTCATGAACGTTCTAGAAGCATGTGGCGTGTTACTAGCGTCACGTGACCTCCGTTGTTTTAACAGTATATATATCATTGTAACTGTTCACTATAGAAGTGGAAATATATATACTAAACTATTATTATGTATGATTTTATTGTTTTCTTACTATTTAACTACTATAGCAGTAAAACTGATCTGGTGATTTGATTTTAAAATGCACTGTATAGATACAAGAATGTGGTTCTTATGGACATTGATTAGTTTTGTTTTTTTACAGTTATGTTTATCAAGATACTATCTACTTAAAGAGTAATGGTGTTTGGATTTCTTATCCTGTTCAAGGATTTGTTTGTTGTAGTCTTCTTTATTCAATTACATATCTGAATAGTTTTAGAATGATTACGTTACAAGTTTTAAATGACCAAGTAGTTTTGGTTTCTTGTAGATTCCCATTTGAATTGTTACTGTGTAGTTAATACATAAAATGTTTATGTTAATCAATATCATACACAAAAAACAATGAATATAATCTTAACAATAAAGCTATTGTTTGATCCAAGTTGTTTTCCACAAGTTGAACAATTCTTATGTTTCTCACCAGTATGTTTTCTTTGGTGTTTTTTTAATCAATTCTTTGATCAAGTTGTTTTTGACAAAGGAACATTTGTAAGATTTCTCACCAGTATGTTTTCCTTGGAGTCTTTTTATTTAATTCTTTGATCTAAGTTGTTTTCCACAAATTAAAAAAGTAAGGTTTCACACCAGTATGTTTTCTTTGGTGTCTTTTTAGTTAATGTTTTATCCAAGTTAACATATAACAGAACGTTTTGGAATAAGTTAGGACCTATTGGTCCATTTTGGCTGTTCCATCCTCTAAACTAAACTACTAATAAATAAATTAAAAAAAGATAAAATCTTAAAGTCAACCCTTATCATACATATACTTATCAAGTTTTCTCTTAAGCTCACTTAAATTTACAGCCTCCACAATATCCAAAAGGATATCCTCTTGTTTAGTTTGCTGTTCGAGCTGCCACTGCTGTTGTCTCTCTTCTTGTTTCGTTTGCTGTTCTTGTGTTGCTGCCTTCAAATCTGCTAAGCTGTAGTTTGATTTTACACTTCTCGTTTCCATCCCACTTCTGACACTGATTTGTTACGTATCTGCTTGTTTGATAATTTCTGTTAAAAATTCTTTCCGAGAAACTTCAGCGATACAAGTTCTGTCTTGATTGAAATTAGTTTATTCTTTCTTGACACAACCTTTAGTAATACATAGAATTTCCACAGTCAAACTAAACTACTTTTATAAACACATGCTATAATTCACAGCGATTCACACACTTTATTTATGGTGCCTACTGTTCTCTTGACTCAATTATTTATCTCTTCAATCTATCTGCCAATCTATGTAACGCTGGATTACATACTAAAAAAAAGAGGGAGTGTAGCAAACACTGGGACATTCGCGAGGTTCCCCGATAAGAAACCTCATGAATGTCCCTGAAATGTCTAGAAACTCCATCGTGCATGCTCCCAGCGTCGCGTGACTTCCACTGTCGTAAAAATACACATATTATTAACAAACTGTAAAGCTGAAAATTTGTAGTTTAGTGTTGTGCTGTCATTTAAAAAAATCCTACATACATGTACACAGTATATCATGAATCCTGATAAACTTTTGGTGGCAAAAAGTGTACATTTTTTTCACAGCACATTTTTAACATAGCTCAAAAACAGCTCAATTTTTTTTCTTGAGGAAATGGAATTGATATAAATGAACAAACATTTATTAAACACAAAATGGATTTTAAATGAATAAATATATTTTTAATGAAGTATGAAAAATTATTGGTATATGTAATATACATGTGGAACTTAGATTAATAACATGATTGCATCACACGTCCTTTATTACACTGTGAACTCTGCATGTTGTCTTTATCTTATTGACAACTGGATGCATGTTAACTGACATGCAGTTATTTGGTTAATATTACATGCTGATAGATAAGTCAACATATCACATAGCATGTCCTCAGAAAACAAGATTTATTTCCTAAACAAAGCTTGGATCTCTTGTTAACGTACATCAAAAGATTCAAGAGAGATTGATACCACATGAATGTGAACTGTACCATTACCATAAAAAATTAAAATACAAGACTTAGTTTGCTTAGAATTATGGAAACTTGTTTCAAAACACAATATATATGTGTGTGAACTAAAATAATATATAGTAAAAATAATAAATACATTTAAAACATCACAACCTTATCTATAACCATTTTACCTGGCCACTAAAAATACATTTACCAATGTTAGAGTAATGGTCAACTGATTGTCAATGGCAATGTGATAATTACAAAAAACATCAACAAATACGTGGTTGAGTTCATAGTGTTGCAAAGAATTTCTATAAACCAAAGAAAAAAACCACGCACTGGAATTTAAATTTATTGATCTATACGTTTTTTTAAAAGCTTTGCTAAACACTAAGTTGTATTATCCAGTTTTATCAACAATACACTGTAACATTTTCTTACATTAAAACATACACAATCTAGAAACAGGAATTTAGTTTTCATAATATTCAAAAATGTATGATCTTTTTCACTTAACCATATAAAAAGTTTACATTTTTAAAGACCAGTGCAAAACCTGGTTAACTGTATATAAAATCCTCTACTACCTTTCACTTTCAAAACCAAAGTACCTTCAACACTTTTACAAACATCATATTTTACAGAATAAAAAAGTCCATTTAAGTTTGTTCAATTGTTATTATGCACTGGACATTTAATTTCTAAAATTCTGTCCCTATCTAAAATCCACCAGGACTGACACACAACCCATTTTCCTCAACAGACACACAAATTCTTTTCTCTTATAAAGAGTAATCATTTTGTAATAAAATGTTCGTTGCTGCTGCTTCTGCCTCATGTCCATGTTTGGTATATTTATTACCAGTAAATGTTCCCTTATAAAATTTAAAGAGATTGTGGTTTCTTTATGTGCACTGCTTGCTGTTGTTATTATATTCCTCACATCTCTCCACAGAACATGTTTACTTTGATCCACTGTTTCACTTTATAGCTGTTCAATTTGTTTTATGTTTAAAGTAACATACTTAACATAAAAGAAACATGTTTTCCACATTATGATAGCGAATCATGCTCACCATGATCAAGCAATCTTTGCAGCAGGGTGACATTAAAAACTTTTGTTGGTTGTTGTTCCGTTAATTTAAAATATTGGAAACAATGGAGAATTCTGAACAGCAGCTTTAAACTCTGTGTCAGATAGATGTATTGGTATGTCCCTAACACCCTGAACATTATCATCATCGTCTGACGTCACAGTAGCACCAAGTTTTGGTTTTTAAACTTTATATTTGCTTGTGGAAGGTGCTTTGGGCTGATTTCATCAGGTATGCAAAAGCAGTCTAATTTACAAAATAGATCATTTTATACCAATTTTTTGAAAAGTAATTTAGTGAACTATATATATGAGTCTATCAGTCAATGTTTGTAAGTTTGCATATTTGTGTAGAAATGCCGCTGATGTGGATCTTGGTTACTTGATAGGCTGTTGTAACTAATGCCTTCTGTGTTGTTTGTTTTGCATTAATCCATGCTGGGTGGATGTATGTTTTATATGTTTTGAGTATATTGTTGACTGTTGTTCCATGGTTTTGTGCCTGTTAGACATCTTTGTTGTTTTATTTACTGAAAATGCACAATTTTCTCAATAAGGTATTGGGATGTGCCTACCTTGAATTAATTGTGCAAATATTTGTGGGAAAGGTTTGAATTAAAGCACATTAAGCATTTTCTACATTAAGTGTTTTAGACTGTCTCATAGAAACTGACTTATAACAATACTGATATGCATGGACACAAAGTAAACTGTGAAATATTAAGTGTATGAAAATATTAATAGTCAGACAGTTTTAAATTTATCATTGCTTCTTCTATCATATGTAAGATTAAGTAGTTTGAAGAATGTTAATATGCTCTTGAAGAAGACTTATAGGTAGAATTTGTCCATATTATGTTCAAACATAGATTACATAGAAACTTACTTTTCAATATTACCCTTGATTATCTCTGAAAACATGACAAACAAAACACTATCAGATGTGCACGTCATAACCCAGTATATCACAAGGATAATTTTTATAATGCTTGATATCATGATCCCTGTTCAACAGAACCATCTCCCACCATTCCAGAACAACAATGTTTGTTTTTAAGTGTAAAGCTACACAATGAGCTATCTATGCTATATAGAAACCTAGTTTTATTATAAGCCTTTTGACTTACCACTCAGCCACTAGGGAGTTCTTGAGCAACTGCTTTGAAGTCTAATAATGTTTTGAGGCAGTACCACCAAAAGCACTTCATATAATATGCTTGTTTGAAGTTAAGCACAAAGTTGCACAACGAGCTATCTGTGCTCTGCCAACACGGGTATCGAAACCCATTGTAAACCTGCAGACATACTGCTGTCACACTGGGGAGCTAATTTAATATGCATTATGCCATCAAGTAATAGTTTTGAAATAAGTCTTTCAGTTACAGTGCATCAAAATTCAGTAGATAAATGATTCAGTTGTTTTGTTGCAAAATACAAATCATGTAACTTATGTTTAGGGTTATGCCAATTCAAGGTGGAGGTTTTCAGACCACTTTTGTTGCATAATTTGAAAACCAAGTAAAATAAACTTAAAAGTTTCAACAGAAATGGTAGATAACTATTTTTATATTTTGAGTAATAATGCTTTAATGTTTGTCAGTTCCTCATTTACCATGCCTTTGATTACATCTAAAAGTAGTTGTATATCGAAGGTTTTAACAGACTGTAAAATACAACTGTATCGAACCACATTCCAACATACTTTCTTTCTTGAAGTGCTTGTCTATCAAATTCTTGTGATATGTCAACTTTACACGTTAACCAACATTAATACTTTATAATGTTCCTGTTAATAGGATCTATAACCAAATTGTATAAATATTAGAAATGCCAATATTTAAACAAAATGAAACTATTTTACAATATGTTATTTATTCTTTTATAAAGTTTAGAACAGATTCCACTGAACACAAACATTATAACTACTGCATTTAGTATAGATAGGAGATTATCACCCAAGTCTTAGAGTCTGGAGTACTGCAGGTGTTCAGAAAATCAAATACCTAGAAATCAATTATTACAGCAGATTCTCAACATATCTTAAAACATTAATGTGAACAAGGTTTTTCCAAACATTACTTAATGTCTATACTTACAGAACCAGGAGGATAACAAACACTGGTCAGTTAGAAAACTTCATTTTCTATAAAAAAAAAAAAATTACTGTTCTCTACAACCATTAATTATCTGTATCATCTTTTCCTGACTTGTAATATTTATGTAAAAGATGTAATTTTGCATATAAATTTCATACTCAACATTCCAAATACTACACATACAATTTCTCTGAATTCTGCACAGGCAATTTTGTTGAAAGCTGCATTATCTGATGAAGAATGCTATCACAGAAGGACATCCTTCTTTAAACAAAAATATAACAGATTTGATGAAGAGTGCTAGCTCAGAAGGACATACTTCTTTAAATAAAAATATAACAGAACTGATGAAGAATGCTATCACAGAAGGACATACTTCTTTAAATAAAAATATAACAGATTTGATGAAGAATGCTAGCTCAGAATGACATACTTCTTTAAATAAAAATATAACAGATTTGATGAAGAATGCTAGCTCAGAAGGACATCCTTCTTTAAATAAAAATATAACAAAAACTTGGTGATTACTATTCCTATTTTTTTATTTCAATTTGTTAAAAACAATGATCTCATAAATTACTTACTTAACAATGAACACTCCCCACTTACCTCTAACATTATTAATCTTTCAGACATAACCTCTCTCTCAGAAGCAGAACTCCTTAGTAAAGATCTCAACTTTTGTTCAAACACTAGCTTCATTAATAAACCTGAACTTCTTTCTGACCTGCATGAATTCTCTCAAAAACTAAGACTTCACAAATATTTTCAAACAAACTCCACCCTCTTGAAAATCAACATACATCAAACTTCAAAGAAAAGTCTTCATGAACATTTCCATCAAACATAGAACCACATTTACAGTTATATTAAAGCAGTAGAAAATGACATAAAAACAAACCTTAAACTCGTCCAAGAAATGTCATAATAATCTTAACCAAAATACAAGAACTGCTATAAATCAAACAACCATGTTGGATATACAAGACTGTTCAGTTTAAGAATTATTTAGTGGTTTAATATCTAATAATTATTTAGTTTTCATAACAAGAGTGTTAAATGTTAATTACTTAAAAGCAATAGTTATTACAAGTTCTGATACACAACTCTGTACAAGTCCTATGTTGTGTTTGTAGTTTAAGTGTATTAGGCTTTTGTAATATTGTTGACATCATCTTACTCAAAGCTTCTAAGTTTTCTCATTATGTGTCATATTGTTGTTACTAGAGGGCTAGATATTTCTAGATTTTCTGCTGTATGTTATAAATAAATGCAGATACTGAGAGGTAGTAAAGGTAGTGAAAAATGAGACGTTAAACTGTGTGATTGTCAGTTTAGCCTTAATGAGCAATTTCTAAAGTGAAAGTATCACAGCCTGTAATTTAATAACAGAGATAAAGATGAAGAATTTGTCTTTTCAATGGGCATTCTAAAGAAATTGAACCCATCTATGTGGACTTTGATCAAAATGAGACAATTATTTAAAGCTCTAGATACAACTGTGGTAACCAATAGTTATAGTGGTGAATTTGAAGGGAGTTTCACAGCTTGTATTGAACAACAGAGATAGAGAGGAATAATTCATCTTGTCAACTGGGTTCTAAAGTAATCATGTGATATGTTTGACTTGTTTTGAATATATATTATTTTAAAACAAGTGGTTTGTGTGCTGTCCATTTATTGTTGAAATTTATTGACTACAAGTCAAAGACATATACTGCAAAGAATCTGGCCCCTATAAAAACCGACAAACAATATCACAATAAAACCAGCAGACAACAGTGGGGCTACTGCTATTCTTAACAAAGGTGACTATATCACTGAAGCTAACCATCAACTACAGCAATATTGAACCAATATTTCAAAAAGGTAGGGTGTGTCTTTAGTCTGCTCAAAAATTTTATATTTTTTAAGACTAAAATACATCTTAGTTATTAAGCTTGATAAATTATAGGAATTAATTATAAATTTATAAATGAATTCTATGGTACTGATGTAGTAATTTATGATTTTTTAATTATTCAAGTGTATATATAAAACCTAAAAAAATTATTTTGTTTCATATCCTCCACGTGCAAAATTTTTAAAGGCTTAGCAACGTCAAGCAGCAACCGAGTACAAAGGTTGTAACAACAAGAGATAATTGTTCCATTTACTTGTTTAGTTATTGTTCTATGTTTTAAGAAAAATAAGTTTAAGAACTTATTTCAAAATAGCAATAATCTACATACATATATAATGTATAATAATTGAAATGTGACTGTATTTTACAAAATACTAGTCTACTAAAACACAGCTAAGACAAGTTACTTTCTAAAGACTAAAAGCCAGTTTTATATTATTGGATATGTTAACATGAGTGCATGTGAGTCGTGTCATTGTAACTTCTGTATTGTTAGCCAGGCATGGCTGAAAGGTCAATATAATAAAAATAAAAAATATATATAAATGTGTAATGTTATGTGATTTAAGCTATTTAGTCTAAACATTTATATTTTCATGTTATAATTTGTAGTCATTCTAGAATGAAAAGGGCATAACTTATATTTATTTCCTAATTTCTTTAATATGTTTACAAGATCAGTCAAATCGACCAAAACCATATAGAGATTCGTTACTGAAAATAACAGATAAAATATAAAGTTTTTTTAAATAAACATTTGATAACTATCTGGACATTATTAAGACTCTGCATGTGAAATTTGAAAATTTTCTAATGCACAAAAGAATAAACAGATTACAGAAAACATCCCATGGATCTAAAACAAATTATGTTACAAAAAGGATATAAAGATACCAAAATTAACAGACAGATCTAAAAAGCAAACAACACTCAGCCAAATAATATCCTAAAACAGTAATACTAAAGTTTCAAATAAAATTCCTTCATGTTATTACCTTTCACTTTAAACTCAGAAAAGTTTCTTGCATTCTGAAAAAACATTTTCATCTCCTGAAGGAAAAGCAGAAGTTCAAAAGATAATCTTGTTCATGCAAAAGTGAATTACACTCCACCAAAAAATGGTTGTCATGTAATAAAGCTTGTTGTCAAACCTGCAAGTTCCTAAAAACTATTCTTTTTTTGACAAGCAAAACCAGAGAAACTTTCATTTCTAAAGAAATCATTTGTGGAACACAAAATACCACTTATGTAGGACAGACTCAAACGACTCTTGGACTCAAATGTTTCAACAACATCTATCAAATGACGTATAGTATTACATTGTGTTCTGAATGAATAAGAGTAAATTTCACTTATAATACAACTTTTGTTCCCACGGGAATCACAACATCTAGCTTGGATGAATCTATATGTTGCCTCTTGACACATAGCTAGAAAGCCAGAAAAACTGTGATTGTTAAAGGAAATTGTCTGTTTTTTGCATGTTGTTATTCTATGTTCATTGGTGCATTATTTAATTAAATAAAAAATTATTCAGTTCATTAGTATCATTAGTATAAAAAGTAGCATTGAGTGTCACGGACTACTGAAAACAAATACTCAATATATTCACAGACAAATCTTTATTTTAGTTGAGAGAGTTAAATAGATATTTCCTGAAGTTCCCATTGTCTCCTTCTGGAAAAGCAGAAGCCCAAAAGATAATATTGTTCATGCAAAAGTGAATAACACCCCATCAAAGAATGGTTGTCATCCATGTAATAAAGCTTGTTGTCAGACTTGCAAGTTCATAAAAACTAATTTTCTTTTAGGACAAGCACAACCAGAGAAACTTTAAAATATCTAAAGAAATCACTTGTGGAACACAAAATACCACTTACCTAACACAGTGTAAAACATGCAATTATCAGTGTGTAGGACAGATCCAAATGATTCTTAGAGAATGTTTCAACAACCATAAGTCATCTATTAACACTGAAAAAGATCTCCCTGTTGTGAACACTTCAACCAACCTGGTCATTCTATTAACGATGTTGCTCTCAGCGCACTGAAATCAGCTTTAAAACTAAAGATAAACGAAGCTTATTAGATTGCTAATCTAAATACTGTCCAAACCTGTGGCATGAATCTAAATCCTGGAATTTGTAGCCTCCAATCATTGGTTTGCTATCTGCCAGAAAAATAATTTACATACCTTTATTATGTAGTTTGAACTCTCAATGTTT